ATAATATGCTCTTGTAATCGAGCTGTATGAACTTGCTTCCTATTTGTAAGCTATGACTTGATGATGACCAGTCTTCTTGTACTTAATCCCTTTTTCTTATTCATCAGGATCTATAATCACAGACAGGCCTTTGAATAGTTTGAAACATATTAGGATGCTTGGAATGACTTTTACTCGTTACTCGTTATGTATATGTAGGGCACTTATTTCATTTATGCACATCTGCTAAACATATTGAATAATGTGCAATATGTCTGTATTTTGTGCTTCTCACTTACTGTGATATGAATAATCTCTTTGATGTTTTGCATGTATTTGAAGTATTTCTGTGAATGCTATTTAAAGTGACATATCAATGATTATGGGTTATGTAAATCTTAGGTGTTTTTTTAAGATACAAAGTTATATCAATATATAGAACATGTATACTTAATGATTTCAGTGTTATTGCCATGTTGTCCTACTCCACAAAAAATTATTGTCACTATGTTGTTGTAGTCCGTGCCAATACAAAGATTACAATTTTGATTCTAGCTTATTAGAATGTATTGCAAATGTAGATCAATAATCCATATTTGTTAGTGATGGCACATGGATAGAGATTATGTGATACAAACTAAAGGCGGATGAACTAGAAAAAGTAAAGCAAACTAAAGATGAACACGATAGAAAGAGGATCTTGGACCTATATGAGGTCTGGGTTTAGCAAAAGGCCTCGGAATCGGGATTTATTGATTTCTAAATATTATAAATTAGGTTCACTGCTTTGAGTTAATTTTTAAGTTATATAAGTCCAGCTTGCAGCAGTTTGCGAGTCAATTTTAGTCGATTAGAGTTCAGAGTTAATCCAGTTGTAAAAGACATCATACATTAATAGTCTAGATTAATGTAGCTAATGTATAGGAATGGCAGGGTACAACTTTACTATATATATATATATATATATATATATATATATATATATATATATATATATATATATATATATATATATATATATATATATATATATATATATATATATATATAT